TCTTCACCAAGACACCCACAAGGATGAAAAGGCAAGTCACAGGATAGAACTATTTGAATACATATAACCCACAGACTCATTCCCAGAATACATAAACATGTCCAATAACTCAGTAAGAAAGCTTCAGAGTACAAACAGAAAAACAGGCAAAAGTCTTAACCAGGTTCTTCACAAAATATATCCAAATGGCTAATCACTATGAAGGGATCGTCACTCTTAATAATAACCAGAGAAATGCAAATTAAAACCACTACTGCGAACACCAAATAGTGCCTCAAGGAGCTGCTTTGTGGCTGGAGCCCGAACACCACCCATGGGCGGGGCAGTGCGTTATCAGTGGTGTTGAGGATACACGCAGCTGACAGCTAGGACAGCACTCCTGGCGTGCCACCTCAGGACACTCACACACATGTGCATCGCAACCGAGGTAAAAGAATGTCCACAGCACACCGTCCTAACAGCTCAGACTAGAAACAACCAAATGCCCATTAGTGGTGGATTAGGTAAATGCAAATGCAGTCTATGTAACATTCCAAAGCGATAGAGATGAATGAAATACAGCTATACACAATATGGATACGCCTTACAGAATACTGTTGCATCAACGGGGCCGATAAGGAGGATTTATTCAGTATAATTCTATTTATAGGTAGAAACAGGCATCCCTAAAACTATAAAAGACTTACGGGGGCTTTTAGGGTGCCCAGCCTGAGTGGTGGTTATGTGGGAATTTGCTTTATAATTATTCACTACATATTTGTTTCATATGCTTCTGTAAGTAAGTTATATTTCAAATACAAAAAGGCTAAAGATACCTGCATATGGCTAAAAAATGAAAATGGAAAGAACCTAGTGAGACGTGAGTCTCTCTGCACACACCCACCCTCTGGCCTCCCTCTCTTTTCCCAACTCCTACTGTTGCCAATCGGGGCACCCCTGGGCTGCTCCAGGGCTGCACTCAGGTTCACGATCGTCAGCCGTTTCCTGCGTGGTTTTAGATGCGTCAACACCGACGACCTCTAAACTCACCTGGATCTACCTGAGACCGGAAGACACACTTGCACACACAAAATCCCAACAGTTTTTCTCTTTTTTGTTTTTTTTTGAGACTGAGTCTCGTTCTGTTGCCCAGGCGGGAGGGCAGGGGCTTGATCTTGGCCCACCGCAACCTCTGCCTCTTGGGTTCAAGCGATTCTCCTGCCTCAGCCTCCTGATTAGCTGGAACTACAGGGGCCCGCCACCACACCTGGCTAATTTTTGTATTTTTAGTAGAGACGAGGTTTCACCATATTGGTCAAGCTGGTCTCGAACTTCTGACTTTGTGATCCGCCTGCCTCGGCCTCCCAAAGTGCTGGGATTACAGGCGGGAGCCACTGTGTCCGGCCCCCCAACACAGTTTCTAACGTTCCTCTACATAGTGTTTCATGTTGAAGAATTAAAGCTTCGAATTTTTTTTTTAATTGAAAACTTTCCCAATTAAGATAAGGAGATCTAGGGATCTCTATTTTTTTCGTTCATTTATATGAAGATCTCTCTTAAAAGAAAGATCAGTAATTATGCTCGCAAATGGATAAAATAAAACTGGGTGGTATGACGTGTTTATCAGATTCTAAAGCATGGGCTGGGGAGCAATTGGGATATAAGAAACTAAAATCTCAAGGCCAGGCGCGGGTGGCTCATGCTGTGTGAATCCCAGCCTCTGGGAGGCCGAGGCGCGGTGGATCACGAAGTCAAGGAGGATTGAGACCATCCTGGCTACACGGTGAAACCCCGTCTACTAAAGATACAAAAATTAGCTGGGCATGATGGCATGAACCTGACTGTCCCAGGCTAAGCTCTGGGAGGCGAAGGCAGTCGAGGAATCGCTTGACCAGGAGGCGGGAGGTTGGCAGTGAGAGCTGAGATCACGCCATCGACTTCAGATGGAGAAAGATGAGACTCTGTCTCAAAGAAAAAAAAAAAAAAAAAAAAGAAAATACAGTCTCAGGAGGAGCCCCAACCATGGAGGACACAGGGCCTGCACTACTTAGGGAAGGTCTTCTGCAAAACGCGATCCAAATACATCACGCCAGGCACTCTAGGGCATTGATAGTACAGGAGGATACCTTAAACACAGGATCTGACTAAAACTACGCAAGAATATGGGAGGGTGATGAATCTGCTGGAACCTGGGGATGAAGGCTCAGGGAAGAAAGGAACACAACTGAGGAGAGGCTGAAGTTGCTGGGAGGGCACTGGAAGGCCGCATTAAACGGGACTTCTAGAGGCACTCACTTGTCAATCATGGGGGGCTTGAAGTTACAGGCTGCATTCTCCTGGAAAAATCAATTTTCCTGAAAAGACAGTACCTTAAAAGATGAAGGACAATTGATTATATTTTGCATACCCCCCAATTAGACATACTGGATGCTTAATTATACATTTTCCCAGAGGACGGACCTTTTGTTCTTTTCACCATTTTATCCGTCCGGTATCTAAAACTGGCTAGCACATAGTGGGACCCACAGATGTTTGCGGAATGAACAGAGCCATCTGAGGAAAACAAATTCAGAAATTTAAATGAGAGGTACTGTAATTTGGAAATATATTTATTCAAAAGAACATCACCTGTATCAGGAGTGAATGCAACATCTACATAAACTTTTAAGATAAAACTCAGGGTCTGGCTGGGCGCGGTGGCTCAAGCCTGTAATCCCAGCACTTTGGGAGGCCGAGACGGTGGGATCACGAGGTCAGGAGATCGAACCATCCTGGGCTAACACGGGTGAACCCCGTCTCTACTAAGAATACAAAAAACTAGCCGGGCGAGTGTGCGGCGCCTGTAGTCCCAGCTACTCGGGAGGTCTGAGGCGGAGAATGGCGTGAACCGGGAGGCGGAGCTTGCAGGTGAGCTGAGATCCGGCCACTGCACTCCAGCCTGGGCTACAGAGCGAGACTCCGTCTCAAAAAAAAAAAAAAAAAAAAAAAGATAAAACTCAGGTCTTCAGAGAAACTGCTCTTAGGCATTTCTCCTCTGTGGAATCTGCAGTCAGAGGTGCCCTGATAGAAACACCTAAAAAGTACTGTGGGAAGAGAGATTCGAACCAGGGGATCTGAAGCAGATGAGTGATCCAACTTGATCTCCTATTTCAGGAGAGACACAGGAGAACTGAAACCAAGAAGCCAGAGGCAGGCAATTCTTCAGAAGAGAAGGGCCTTAGCTACAGCCCATGAACCCAGCCCTCAGCCCTCTTCTAGGCAATCCCGACTTGCCTTCCTGGGTACAGGCATGCCAGTCCTCATTTTTGGTAACAAGGATCTCTCACTCTATAAATCCAAGCTTCTACCACTTGAAAGCTCGATAAACATAACAATGAAATGCGCACTTCTATATATCTACGAAATGTCAAGACTCACTTCTACCCTGACCCTTAGCACCTAAATAACTTCAAAATTGGGTTAATCTTCTCACACTGTTTGTAACTCAGTTGATGCTTCTGAAATTTACAATAAATCTTTCTTAATTTCAAAGTGCAAGTGTCTTATTTTATCCATACTAATATATACATTTTCCATATTAATGTTTCTAAAATCAAGTTACATCTTTCACTTTTTTTTTGGTAATTCTTTAAAAATGGTTTGGGCTACAATTAACAGTGCCTTAGGTGTGATGAGATATGGTATCTTAGCTTCCCTACACATGTGACTCTGCTCAGGTTTCTAAATGGATATCATTTCATTCAAATGAAGCCAATGCCCCGCCTCCCTCCGGGTCTGTCTGTACCACCCAATGTGGAAGGAGTTGAAGCAAACTGGCTGTAGAAAGCAGACGGGATTTTAGAAGAGGCCGTGCCCACCCTAAGTGTTCCCCGTTCCAGCGTGTGGCTGCCTGCAGCTAGGTCTGTTTGGCCGGGCTCCATGACAAACCAGGAGAGGCAGTGCACAGCCCTTCCTGTCACCAGGGACGCTGAAACCATCTTTCCACTCTGTGTGGGTAGATTTCGGACAAAAGGAACAGTACCGCCAGGTACACTTCATTTGGGTATAAATTTGGTAACGTGGGGCTGGTTCTGCACTGACACTCTTATTTACATGTTTGGACAGAGACAACCCGTGGCTCACAATCCACCATGAACGTTCCAATGCTGTGGTTTATCCAGCTTTGTTGTACACATTTACCAAGATTACATCATCTTTCCTGGAGAGAAAGCTCTGCTAACCACAGGACCAAGCTGGGGTTCCCTCCCAAACCTGAGCTGCTCCTACCTTAAGCTCTTTGGGTTTTTCTGATTCGTTTGCCTGGTTTTATTTGCATACGAAGAAAGGGGTAATATTCACTTTCCCCACAACTTTCTACCACCAACCCCATCTTTCCTTTCTCACGAAATTAACAGTATAATTTAATAAGGCAGAGATTTTTCATTTCAAAAAGCAGTGGTTGAAGCCAAATTCTAGTTCATTCATGCTTTCTGCCCATGAAGACTGGCAGCCTCTACCAGAGAATAGGTGGGGAAGGGTGGAATGGAGTGGAGTGGAGTGGAATGGAGTGGAGTGGAGTGGAGTGGAGGGGCGCCCGGATGGAGAGAGGTCAGGCTGAAACGTGGAGTGGAGTAGGGTGGGGTGGAGTGGAGTGGAGTGGGGTGGAGTGGAGTGGAGTGGAGTGCAGTGAAGTGCAGTGGAGGGGCGCCCGGATGGAGAGAGGTCAGGCTGAAACTTGGAGTGGAGTAGGGTGGGGTAGGGTGGGGTGGGGTGGAGTGGAGTAGGGTGGAGTGGAGTGGAGTGGTGTGAAGTGCAGTGAAGTGCAGTGGAGTAGTGGAGTGCAGTGGAGGGGCGCCCGGATGGAGAGAGGTCAGGCTGAAACGTGGAGTGGAGTAGGGTGGAGTGGAGTAGGGTGGGGTGGAGTGGAGTAGGGCGGGGTGGAGTGGGGTGGAGTGGAGTGAAGTGCAGTGGAGTGCAGTGGAGGGGCGCCCGGATGGAGAGAGGTCAGGCTGAAACGTGGAGTGGAGTAGGGTGGAGTGGAGTGGAGTGGTGTGAAGTGCAGTGAAGTGCAGTGGAGTGCAGTGGAGGGGCGCCCGGATGGAGAGAGGTCAGGCTGAAACGGGTGAAGGCCAGGAGTGGCTGCTTTCCTCGGAAAAGCTCTTCAGTGAATTTTTCGGTAAAGAGAGTCATGCGGAAGAGCAAACGGACTCCCCCCGGTTCAGACTCCGCTAAATCAGAACATGGTAAACTCATGAAATTATTCTCAGCTTCAGGCTCCTCATCTGTAAAATCTCCTGTGGACACACGCACATTCAGAATGAACCTTCACTCCGGCTGCAGGACAAGAGAAATTCAACGGCGTTAGCTGAACTGGAAGATTCAGCTTTTTTTTTTTTTTTTTTAAACAGGGAAAAGTTAAGACAGGTCAAACAAACTCTTAGGGATAAAGATATAAATCCAGCACAGCATTATGTCCTGATACAGGCCATATTTCCCACTTAGGACTCTAGTTCTAGCAAGCCTTGTGGAGAACAGACACTCAGGGCACTGATCAGTAAACGCTCAACACCTTCTGTGGAGCCCGTATCGCTTCACCTTCCACTCACACCAGCACGCCTGGTGAAATGCTGACTATTAACACTATTACTGCACCTGGTGACCAGAAGCTCCAGCAATGCAGTAGCTCATTTACCCAAAGAACAACGGCAGGTACCATCTCAGGAAAAGTAACAGCTCTTAACATTTGACAAGAAGATGTAATAATATCTTTTCAATTCCATCTTGAAATTGATTCCAGAACCTTCAGTGTGTTTACCAGCAGACAAAGCAGTGTAGGGGTGTGAAAAAGATACACTGAAAATACACACACATTTTTTTCAGTCCCTTTTTATGTTCTCTACTTCCTTTCTCCATGTCTCCGACAGAGGAGGTTCAAGTGCTTCCTTCTAGACACGAACTCTTGCTGAAGCTTGGCTCTTCCTGCAAATGATGTCCAGCCCGGGGATGGCAGCAGGGAGGGTCGGTGCAGGACACAACCAAATGAGCATGTGGCCTGTGTGCCAGGACCTACCGGGCCCTGGGCTGCTCCCGGAGCTCCAGCCTCACAGAGGCAGCCTGGGGATCACGGCCACAGAGCAACACAGGTACCATGTCACATGCCAGAAACCACGATATCAGGACTGTGTGCATGTACACGTGTGTCCAATCTCTGGGGAGGTGAGACAGAGAGAAACCAGTGCGAGAGCGCTCCGGCCCCTCCCGCAAGCTACCAGCCTCCTCGAACTTGTCACATACCCACCGCTCCACTCTCTAAGATTCGAATTAGTTACCTGGTATTGGTATTAACCTACTTTGTGTTCCAGCCTCCACCTCACCTGCCTATCAACTCAAAAAGAAAAAAAAATATGATGACCACTTTAAGATGGATGATGATGAAAATGAGTACCAGCTGTCTTTAAGAACAGTCGTAGGGGCTAGCGCAAAGGATGAATTGTGCATTGTTGAAGCAGAGGCAATGAATGATGAAGGTAGTTGGATTAAGGTAACACTGAGGGCTTTGAAAACATCGGAACAGCCAAGGGCTTCCCTTGGGCTCTGAAATACCACCACCTGTGGCCTTGTGGGTGAAGTGTGGTTCAGGGCCCGTGTGTATCAATGGATGGCACTTAGTAGCTGGGGAGGAAGATGCAGAGTCAGAGAGACAGGAGGATGTGAAACTCTTCAGAATATCTGGAAAGCGATCCCGCCTGGAGGTGGTAGCAAGGTTCCGCAGAAAAAAGTAAAGTTGGCTGCTGCTGAAGATGATGATGATGAAGATGAGAAGGAAACTGAGGACAAATCTCCAGTGAAGAAATCTATACGAGACACTCTAGTCAATCATGCACAAAAATCAAACCAGAATGGAAAAGACTCCAAGTCACCAATGTCAAGAAAAGGTCAAGAACCCTTCAAAAAATAGGAAAATACGCCTAAAACACCAGAAGAACCTAGTTCTGCAGAAGACATTAAAGCAAAAATGCAGCCAAGTATAGCAAAAGGTGGTTCTCTTTCAAAGTGGAAGCCAAGATAATCAATTATGTGAATGGCTTCTGGATGACTGACAGGGGGCTGTTGAAGATCTCTGGCAGGGCAGGAAGTCTCTTTAAGAAAATAAACAGTTAAAAATTTTCCATCTTATTTCCTATCTCTAACAGTTGATATGTGGCAGTCCTTTTTATAATGCAGAATGAGAACCTTCCCTACCGTGTTTGATAAATGCTGTCCAGGTTCCATTATCAAGAATATATTGTCCAAAATGCCCATTTGTTTTAGACAAGGTCTTGCTCTGTCACCCAGACAGGAGTCAGTGGTGTGATCACAGCTCACTGTAGCCTCAACTTCCTGGGCTCAAGTGATCCTCCCACCCCAGGCTTCCAAGTAGTTAGAACCACAGGCACGTGCCACCACTCCCAGCTAATCTTTTTATTTGTTTTTGTAGAAGACAGAGTCTTGCTATGTTGCCCAGGTTGGTCTTGAACTCTTGGGCTCAATCGATCTTTCCATTCTGGCCTACCAAGGTGCCGGGATTACAGGGGTGAGCCACCACGCCCAGCCCAAAATGCCTGTTTAGTTATTAAAGACGGAACTCCGCTCTCTGCTTGGTTTTAAGTACGTATGGAATGTTATGACAGGACACAGTAGTAGCAGTGATCAGACATGGAAATGGCGGGGAGATTAAAAAAATATATGCGAAATAAAACTCAGTATTTTACTAAAGTAAGAAAAAAGAAAAAAGACACATCACTCCCATCCATGCCCTCCCGAGCTAAGGCTGGTCTACCCATGCCAGGTGTGAGCAGGCACCACAGCCACGCTGCTCTCAGGGGACTGACTGCACCTGGGGACGGCTGGACACAGATCCGTGATCTGGAGGATGATTTGGGGATAGAAGATAAGCAGGCACCCCTCGGGTGGTGACTGTCGGTGACACGCAGCTCCCCAGGACAGTACCCTCATGCCTGTCGCCAGCACACCTGGGTGGGGACCCTGAGGAGTGCACGCAGAGCACCCCGGTCGGGGCCGAACCCCAGCTTGCTCCTCACTCCCCTTTCCCCAGGATGCTCAGTGGCCGCTCACCAGCGGGAAAGCAAACCAACAAGCAGAGTAGCCACTGAGAGCCCACGGGCGCTCCCGCCCTCTCCCCCTGTTTCAATGGGGACTCGAGGGGGCAGGCTGCACCTGGAAGCCTTGGCTTTCCACTGCTTTCTCAAAGGGTCCATCGAATCACACTCCCTAAGTAACACGACTGTAATACAGCTGGCAGGTCATTCAAGAGGCTCACCAGCTAAAAGGTTCATTTTTCCACTGGAGAAGAATATGTCACCTAAAGATTTGATATGTTTATTATTCATGGAAACGAGGAACATTCTAGCGTTCGGGTAAGTGTTGAAAGACAGTGGACCCTTTTCTACCCATACGTCTGTGCTGCCACTGAATTCGTTTTCTTGACACAGCAGGGTTTGGTGTGGGGAACCTGCAGGTATAAGGAGGGCTCTGGGGGACCTCCACGAGCTGGACTCTTCAGAGCAGCCGCAAGAGGCGGCACTAGAAATCGGGTGCCAAGAAGCTCCATGGGGAGCTGAGAGCTCAGTGGTGTCTGAAGGAGGAGGTGCTCCCTGCCTTCCAGACTAAGCCTGGGTGGCCTGTGAAGGACTGCATGACTCCAGCCTCCTGGCTGTCCACCTGGCCCTGGAGCCCTGGCCTCACTGCCCCAGTTGGCCTCAAAGGGCCCCCTTTGACAGGTGCTTCCCTCCCCTGCCTCCCAGAAGCATGGGCGATCCTCTGCCTTCCTCTCTACGGCTTTTCGTGTCTGCGGCTGGAAGGTTTCATTTCAAAAAGAACACCACAGTGACCGTGGGCAACCCCCTTCCCTCGCCCCACCTCCTCAGGTGAGGACTGACCACTCAGCAGGGAGCCTGCTGTCCGGAGGCAGAGGGAAAGTGTCTGTCTGGACACGGAACGAGCCGGCCCCCTGTCTTTCAATGTGGAAGCCCGGTTTGGTGATCTGAGAGGTGGTGGCATTTGGGGAAACCTCCACAGGCCGTCCTCTAGATTCTACTTTTCTACATCCAGTAGTACTTCCTAAGATTTGCTCTTTATGGTCCAAGTTTTACAGCTAAACTAAAAACTTAACATTCATGGCCATTACTAGGCACAGTTGCCCCCTTCATTTCTAACTTGGAATCCTTCATTTAGCAAGTATCTGTAAAGCCTCGAAGACAGGAAGCAGCAGTAAAACAAAGGTGTTAAGAACTCGGGCAGAAAGCCGAAACCTGTGGGTTGGAATCCCAGCTCCATCTCTGACTACCTTAGTGACCCTGGGCAGAAAATGATCTCTTTGGGCCTCAGTTTTCTCAACTAGAAAATGGGAATAATTGTCTTTACTGGGGTTGATGTGAATTAAGAGATGTACAGTGCTTAGAAAAATCCCTGAAATATAGCGTGTCCTCAATAAATGTTGCTTTTGTTTTTTGTTAATCTTGTATCAAGTGACTTACTAGCATCTATAACTCAATCTTATTACCGTCCCGATGGTAACGGAAACAACTAACAGAAGCAACATTTTCACCCTCTCCAGGCATGTCCGAGCAGGCCTCGAATGCACTGTACTCAGCAACTAAATTTGTACCAAATGAAAGGCGGAATCTCAATTTGACAATGTCTGGTTCTGCATAACACAATTATGCATATGCCCTGATAAACAGCACAGCAACAGTGCTTTGCTGTTCTTGATCCTGTAACAGGGCAGTGCAATAGGAACTACTTAAATGTTGGCTGAAAGAGGCTGAATGAACCCCAGATCTGATTATTACAGATGTACCCACTAGGTCATGGGGGAGCCAGTCCGTTTGGTGAGTTCACAGACATCTTAGTATTATCAATCTGTGGCATAACTAGATCTGAATGGAAAAATATCCTTAAAGTTGGATAGGTTATAAAAGACCGGTGGAGTGGAGCTTTTTTTTTTTTTTTTTGGTGAGGCAGAGCAGGTGTTGCTGGAAGCTCACATGGGTAAGAGGATAAAAACCAGAAAGTAGCAAGCAGACGAAAAAGGCAAGAGACACTGCTATTAACCAGCTGCGAACAGTTGCTTGACCTTTTTGGGCCTCAGTTTCCACATCTGAAAAATGAGGTTCTTTCTGGTTCTTTTGAGACTATGAGAGAAAGTTTCTTTCAGGAACTCGAGTGCCAGCAGCAAATCCCACAGAGGGGAAAAAACGAAAATACAACAGGGTCTCTAAACAGGAAAAGAGAAGAGAATAATGTGATATATATGTTTTTTAATCCAGGAAAATAACGTACAAGGTGGGCAGTACAAGAAGGACCATATAAAAACCTATAAATGAAATCTTTCACTCTGTGTATAGGTGACCATTGGTCTTTACAGGAAACAACTGAGTATTTGATGGCTAATGTGATATGTAAACATGTATAACTTATTTTGAAGAATTTTCTTTTCAGAAAAATAATACATGCTCACTATAAAATAGAAAAAAAAAAATCCAAACAACACAGGAAAGGCCAACCCAGAGAGAACACTGTGGACATCCCCAGGTGCGTGCAGACGAGTGCACCACTGGCAGCCAGGCTTCATGGGCTCCTCTGTTCACTACCCACACCCCGGGTCCAGGATGTCTCACACGCCAACAAATAGGTAATGTCATCGTCACCTGTTTGAAATTTCACTTGACATGTGTGCCACGATTCAATAAATCAAGTTGGGCTTCTCATGGTGTTCTTTCAAAAATATTACATCGCAAATAACGCTTTGCTTTATGATTACAGATGGAGGATGGAATATTTATCTGAGTCTACTCTCTTCTGAAACCCACTAAAAAGACAGGGAATTTTGTAAAGAGTTTACACTTTCCAGGATGTGGGATCACGGGGCCGGAGGGCAGGCAGGGAGGCAGCCAGGCGCGCACTGAGGAAGCCTTACCGGCTCAGGTCAGGGTGTCCACAGGTGCCCGTGGAGTAGGGACACAGATGGGCAAGAAGAGGACTGGCAGGAAGTCCTTGCAGGCTGTTCTCACAGGCCCTGTGCCACCTGTGATCACATAACTTGACTCTGGAAATGAGTGTTGTTTTTTGTTTTTTTTTTGGAGACAGAGTCTTGCTCCGTCACCCAGGCTGGAGTGCAGTGGGGCGATCTTGGCTTACTGCAACATCCGCCTCCCGGGTTCAAGCAATTCTCCTGCCTCAGTCTCCTGAGTAGCTGCATCACAGGTACATGCCACCACGCCCAGTTAATTTTTTCTATTTTTTCAGTAGAGACAGGGTTTCAACATGTTGGCCAGGCTGGTCTCGAACTCCTGAGCTCAGGCAATCCGCCTGCCTTGGCCTCCCAAAGTGCTGGGATTACAGGCATGCACCACCATGCCCAGCTAATTTTGTATTTTTAGCAGAGATGGGGTTTCACCATGTTGGCCAGGCTGGTCTCGAACTCCTGACCTCAGATGATCCACCTGCCTCAGCCTCCCAAAGTGCTGGGATTACAGGCATGAGCCACTGCCCGGTCTTTTTTTTGTTTTTTCTTTTCTAATTTGAGACAGAGTCTTGCTCTGTCGCCCAGGCTGGAGTGCAGTGATGCAATCTCGGCTCACTGCAACCTCTGCCTCCTAGGTTCGAGTGATTCTCCTGCCGCAGCCTCCTGAGGAGCTCGGATTACAGGCACCCGCCATTGCACCCAGCTAAGTTTTGTGTTTTTAGTAGAGATGGGGTTTCACCATGTTGGCCAGGCTGGTCTTGGCCGATCATGGCCCGCCTTGGCCTCCCAGAGTGCTGGGATTACAGGCATGAGCCACTGAGCCCAGCTAAAATAGTGAAGATTTATACAATCAAGAAGAAAGGACAATACAACCCTCAAGGGATAGGCTGTGTGCAAGGGGCTGCCTCCTCTTTCCCTGGGGCTCCGCCCTTCTGAGAAGACCACGTGCCTGGGAGGCACAGCGCTTTGCTTTTCACAGCCGCCTGGGGCGAGGGGGACAAGAGCTGAGTCCAGGGCCCTGAAGGTAAAGGAGGGGCTGGTGAGACCCCCTGCTCATTGTAACATCCAGAGAAATGTGCAGCAAATATGGCAAAATATTGACAAATGGGCGAAATTCGGATTAAATTCTTTACATCATTCTTCCAACTTTTCCATGCTTTTGAAATCATTTCAAAAAGTTAACAAATACGCAAACAAACTACAAATCAGGAATGGAAAGTGAATTTTACCAAATGCCATCTTCAGATTCACGAGACGCTTGCATTTACCTTCCTTCGACGATTACTACTTCTTGCACGCTATGATTTCTCACCGTTTTCCACCCCACTGGCTCCAGGTCTACTTGTCTTT